TTATCACATCATCCGTTTAAGATTCAACCATCAACAAACCTGTCTATTGATCTCAAAAGTATATGACCTTAGTTTGAAAACAATGGATTGAAGGTCAACCCAGAAAAATCAATTAGCATAACTTTCAAGCCTAAAAAGTAGTAAGGTGAAACTTTATATTGGAGGCAAACAACTTGATTGTGTGCTTAGCATGCGTTACCTTGGTGTAACCTTTGTTGAACACCTTACCTTTCATAATCATATTCCCAAGGCTGTTCAAAGCGCGTATGCAAAGCTGAAAGCTACCTACGGTTTTAAAAATATTTTGCATAAATACTCCAAAATAAAGCTCAATAACAGATTAATCGTAAGCCAGCTGGGGTATGCTGATTACGTTGTTGATCCCTGTCTAAGTCAACAGGGGGCATTTCGATTTCAGAAGATCTAAAACAGCTGTGTACGCTATATTTCAGGAATATCGAGAAGAGAGGGAATTTCCAGGCATCTTAAGGATATAAAATGGTTTCAATCCACCATCAATACTCTCTATAATAAAACCTCAGTTTATCTGTTTAGTAAATTGTCTACTTTAAAAACTCTGTCGATACAATACTTCAAAATTCAGTTCATTTTCAATGGTTGTACATGATATCGTTTAACCTGATTTATTGTGATATATTTTAAGTTTTTTGTACCTGATCTGCACTGAGCTGAAATACTGCTTGTTTGTGAGCCAATTATGCATTTTACCTTGCAAAGAAAACTGTATTTCTTGCATTTCATGTATCATGGTTGGTAATGGAAAGCCGATTTAAGCTGAATACCCGCCAGTTAGATAAAGGCCATTTATTATTATTATTATCGGTATCGGCAAAAATCCTGTATCGGTCGATTTCTACTTATAATTCCCAATCAAGGTGACAATTTTAACTAATTGGCGCCTTGAATAAATGCTTTGATGGGCACAGGCTTTAAAACTCCACGGGCCTCCAGATATACCTAGGCCTTCCAAGTAAGTATAATGGGGTGCCGGTTATACTCGAATATATGCTTTGAGTGGAAGATAGGTTTTGGTTAATTTCGCATTGTTTATACATAGTGTTTTGAAGGTAGATAAAACGTCTTGGAGAGGTGATAGCGGAAGCCATTTAGAACGTTTTAAGCCAAAAATACCCTAGTTCAAAGTCTTACGGTTTTCGAGTTATTCGAGATTTCCGATTTTTATTGAAAAAACTATGCCTTTTGTTACTGTTATCACTGAAAGAACATCAGGTTATATGAAATAGTTTTTAAATACCTGACAGTGTGGTTTTTCTCCGAATGTAGAGAAAAGGAAAACAGATTGTAAGCAAATAATAAATACATGTTTTCCTATTTCTTGTGATATTGATAAGAAGGAACGTGTTTGCGTGCATGATAAAACTAAATTCCACACATTTTTGCTTTATTACTTTCCAAACAAGTTAATAGTAATTCATGAATTTCAGTCCAAAAACCCTGAATTAATTAGTTTGTAAAATGGCCACTTTCAGTAACGAAGAATACGCAGATATCGTTTATATGTATGGCAGATCATATGGCAATGGACTCGAAGCACGACGGTTGTACCAAGAGCGATTTCCTGGGAGAAGATTGCCTAATGTCAGAGTGTTTTATAATACTTACCGACATCTTTACACGTAACCTGGTGTTAATCCAGGTCGATATCCTCCTGAAGCCGAAGATCTAATCCTCCAAGCGTTTGAAGATGATCCCACTACAAATACTAGGAAAAAATTCCTTTCCTGGTATCGGCGTACAAGGACTTGAAGATGATGATCCTATTAGCAGAAGCCAATTTTGTCATTTTCTCTTACATAGTGACATTGAGGATGAACGGTTCCTGGAAAGCATTCTATGGACGGACGAATCCAATTTTTCAATGGAGGGCATTACAAATTTTCACAATTTGCACCAATGGGGTGATAAGCAGGAAAATCCACACTGGACAAAACTGGTGTCTTTCCAGCACAAATTTTCCGTTAATGTATGGGCCGCCGTCATGGGACAAAGATTAATCGGTTCTCATTATTTGCCTGAAAGATTAAACGGCGACAGTTACCTATACTTTTTGCAAAATGATCTTCCAGAATTACTTGTAGGAGTAGGAATTCCGGATGACATGCAAATTGTTTTCCAACTCGACGGATGTCCAGCTCATTTCCGTTTGGACGTAAGACAATATTTGGACGATACTTTTCCAAATAGCTGGATAGGCAGAGGTGGACCAATTCCGTGGCCTGCTAGATCCCCGGACTTGACACCATTGGATTTCTATGTCTGGGGGCCGGCTAAGTAGTTAGTTTACACTACAGAAATCGTATTAAGAGACCATTTAATAAGAAATATTCGAGAAGCTTCTTATTTAATGAAGAAAGACAGGTTATTAAATAGAACAACTACCGAAATAACACGTAGAGCTCGAACATGTATTAGAAACAATGGTTCTCATTTTGAATACCACTAAGCACGTTTCGATAGTTTATTTTGTTTCGCTTACAAATTTATGACTTAAATTTGAAATTCCGAATATCTCGAAAACCGTAAGACTTTGTAATGAGGTATGTTAGGCTTAAAAGACTCTAAATGGTCTGCCCTATCGCCTCCCTAAGACTTTGTATCGACCTTCCAAATACCCTGTATAGTATGTGTCTTGACGTCCTGATGAAATGTCGTAAGGGGCACATGCTCCAAAACTCAACTCCAGATATACGCCGTCCAAGACAGTATAATGGCGTGTCGGTTATACTCCGATTTCTATGAACCGAAACCACTCTTCCACTTAAAGCAGATATTCCCGTAGAACCGACAACCATTCATACTTAGACGACCTACATCTTCAGATCTGTAGATTTTTGGGGCCTATGCCAATTAACGAATTTGTTGAGGACACGCTGAGACACATAACATAAAAATTTTAACGAGATCAGCCGAAACCACTCTTCTACTTAAATCAGATATTCGAGTAGAACTGATACCGCAGTATAGTGTCTTGGAGAGCATATATTTTGATGCCCATTCAGCCTGTGCCCTTTGAGGTATTTGTGAAAAGCGCCGAAACACTTAACATATAAAAAATTCAAAACAAATTGAAACAAAATTAACGGAAACCATTCTTACACATATAGCAGATAGTAGAACTGACTCCCCATAATACTGACTTGGGCTGCCTATATCTTGGGACCCGATGAGTTTTGGAGCCTTGTACCTAGAGCGATTTGCTAAAGACGCCAGGACGTATCACGTATACAAAATTTGGCGAAAATAACCGAAACCACTGTTCCCATTGGTGCGTTGCCGGGTCCTTTGTATTGTTCAACTAAATCGGGTACTGTTTCTGTTAACAGCTCTTACACTATCGAGTGAATGGTGCCGGACGTAAAGCGGCGGCGCCTTGCATCATCATCTACATCGTCGTCAATTTTTCTGATCCCTAATTACTCCAGCCTATTGCACAGGTACCGCTGGCGCTGTGGCGTTGCGCTGCTCTCTGCCTCTCTGGATGGTGGCTGTGTGTTGACTGAAATTACGTCACATATCCCGTATTGATTCCTTAGGTGCTAGCAATTCCAGGTCCGCGGCCTCGTCGCCTGCCGTCGCCGCCTGCCGTCGCCGCTTGCCGTAGCATGAGCGTCGACATCCCTTCGGGTGTTTGTCTCTCTCGCAACACTGTAGTCCGGTCGAATCGCAATAGGGCACTAGTCAAAAAAGCCTCATCATATATCGCAAATCATTGAAATAAAAACGGCACACACTGGCCCAATTAACGGAAATTAATAAGTCTATAAGACAAGAGAAAAAAATCAGTTCTCACAAAATTTTCAACGACAGATTTTCTAAAAAACATAAAACAGTTGCATATGTACTTTGAAAAATGCCATCGTTGTCAAACTGACATAATGAAGTTAGCAGCGTACAATTTTAGAAGACATTATTATTTATCTAGGTGTTTTTTGTTATTGTTATTTAAATAGGAAAGCTACTTCTCTGAGGAAAACCGCGGTCAACAATGGTGTTTTCTCAGGTTAATAGTTGAAAAAATATGATCTCTTATCAAGGGAATCACCAACCTAGTAACTTCAGTGATTTTCGAATCAGGTGAATGTGCACGTATTACAGATTGATATACCATTGCACAACCACCATATTTTACAATATCACTAACGATAACGAGTAGAAATTATGGTGGCTGTCGCACGTCTGCGAAGGCTTTTATCCTTAACGTAGTTTTGGTGTATTGGTTTAACAAAAATACCTTTCTAAATTGGAGTAGGAAACAAATAAATTTGCCTGCGGATTTAAGGCAAATGTATCAATAGTAATTAAACAGGTTCCATACGAAGTGATTAAAAATTAATACGATCGAGAGGGCTTTCGATATCCCAAAAAAGGAAAAGGGGATTATACCGGCTATTGTTAGAGTATCTAAAGCCGACCCTTGTAACCACAGACCTATAGCTGTGCTATCTGTGCAGTTAGGGTATGTTTATATTGAAGATGTTGCGATGCTTTCTTCGCTACCTCGATGATCGCCTCCTCAATCTGACTACGATGTAAAACAAACATATATTTTACGTTGGGAGCCTTCATGGTGACGATGCATTCTGCGCCGCTACCTTCGTTTCCTCGCGGTCGACCGCGCGAAAGGACAAATATTTTGTTTTTACCTGGCTGTCAGGAGGGAAACATCGGGATGGGCTTATGGTAACCACCAATCGTTCCTCAGCAAGAATTGCATTACTGTGCAAGTTGGTGTACTTGCAGTAGATGCTCAACTTTTGTATGTAACCAAATGTATCTGTCGACATTCTCATGTAGGAGTGGACATTTTCATTGTCTCTCTTTAATTCGAGGAAAAGATGGTGGTACTTACTTTCCAAGTTGTCTCGCTTTGATTACTGGATGTGTACTGTATTTTCGATTTGGTAGAGAAGTAAACATCCACCACTTGGTTACTAAAGACAAATCACTCTCACTATCACTGTCGCTCGTCAACATCCTGCCTTATTACTCGCTCGTGAACAAATGAAACATTAAGAACCGCATTCAAGGAGAGAAAAGAAAACATCGAGGGCGAATTCAGTATGCACACCCCCCATCCATGTTGAAAGTCACGAGGAAGCGGTCATCGACGTAGCGAAGAAAGCATCACAGTAAGCATCTTTCACTATATACGTGCCCTAAGGCGATGGAGAGGTGCATAAATCGGGAGCTACTGGAGTACCTTGAACGTCACGGCTTGATTAGCAGTATGGTTTACGGCAGCAGCTATCCACTCCTAACTGTAGAGTGTGAGTGAGGCTCATGCCATTGCTATTGATATTACGAAAGCTTTCAATCAGCTGCGGAATGCTGCTCTCTTTTCCAAACCTCCATCCTATGACCTGCCAGAAGAGCTGACTTCTCAGGCCGCATGATATATATACAATATCAATGCGGGTATTCCCCAGGAATTAGTCTTGGCTCCAGCATTGTTCCTGTTACATACAAATACCTCCTTTCCTGTACGATCAATTCGATCCACAGCTTTGCTTATAACAAGACTCTATATTGAAGTTATCACTGTTTGGGGATCCAACAATATCGTATAGTGTAATGCTTCCAAAAGACAGTAGCTTGATTAATAAAAAGCGCCGTAGCGCTCACCCGGTTTTGCCAACGAGGTTCTCATTTCGGCTGGTCGGAGTCCAGGTTACCGAGGAATTGATCTGCTACAAACACGTCAATAGCGGCATCTGCTGGAAAAAAGATAGGCTATTCGTTTAGGACTAAGAAGTAATTTTCTTCACATGACCTCCTTGCTCTGTACAAAGCCCAGATATGGCTGCTTACATTTTTGGGGTACTGCGAATCAAACTGCATTACGCTTTCTCGATGCTGTTCAGAGGAGGGCTGTCCGACTAGTCGATAACTTTTATCTGACAGACAGCCTCGGAATCATTTTACACCGAAGGGCCACCGGCTTTTCTAGCTCTCCTCTACCCAGTATCGAACTTCGTTCATCTAAAGCTGGCCGATACGACTGCTGCTTCATCCCTGGGGTATCGAGATTGGGGAGCAATCTGTTGGAGGAAGCTTTTCTCAGTTCTACTAAACTTCGAATATCAGCCTAACAAAGTTTCCTTAAGCTCCTTATAGCAACCGCGATGCCTTGGTATGTAGGTTTCTGCATACGCGGTTGCTTCGGTATACGGTATACGTTCATACAAAATGGCATTTGTAATTTCATCTTCCCATGCAAACGTTCGACTGCACTATAGGGTGGAAAAGGACGTCGTGTATGTCAGGCTGTGGCAGGGTGCGCCGGGCGGCCCGGACCCGGCCACCATGCGCACTGGCTCCGGTCTCCGTGTCCCGGAGACCACTCCTAGTGTCGGCGTCGTGGCAGAGACATCCCGGCCCGGAGCGAGTGTCCTGTAGTGAAAAATGCCGAGGGAACGAAGGCACGTGTGAACCCCCAGCATGGGGTGGCGGCTTATGGTGGCGCTGACCACCCTTATTGCAGCCGTCGCCATCGGAAAGGCGGCCGCAGGGTAAGTAACCATGCACCTTTGTTGACACCGTCACCATATAAACACACGTACATATTGTAACCCCCTGTCGATATGATCCAGGTGCTCTGCACACCCTGGAGCTCGACCAGATGACCCTTTCATCTGGATAGCATCAGACGAGATTCTATTTTGACAGCTGGATGTTTGCATGTTTATTAGCTGCGATCTGTCCGGGGTCAAGCTACACCCATCCTCTTTCTCAATATTTACTTGCTTCAGTATGACGTGCAAGGATATATTCCTAGTTCATCATCTCTACCTAGTATATTGTGTTGAAACTACACTATTTAGATTAGAACTGAATAGAGACAACTCGTTATATACCAACTTTAACTTGACTTGAAAAGGCTGATTCCTCAGAATGCGAAATAACCTACTACTTTTTCATGTTTTGATGAACTATTTCCACCTTTTGTGATTGAAATAGTTCGCTTCTGTCACTACACCCAATTCAGTCGAACAATCAGTAACACTGCAATTAGATGAAACTTTTAGGTTTTGAAGGTGGTAGCTGCATCTTAAATATACGGCATATTAATTGCTTATGCAAAATTATAGACATTTGTTAAGCTTTCCGTTGAGAACAAGTTTTTTCTAAGCGACCATTGATGAAGAAATTACGCATTCAATAATAATAAAAATAAGCTTTCATTGACCAATAGTTTAATACCATTTACAGAGCAATCTGCTATAAACAAGAAATAATCATGATGTATATTGTAAAAAAACAAATTACAAATATAATAAATCAATAAAAAAACAATTATAGCTATAATTTACCAGGAAGAGAGGTAATAAAATCAAAAATGAGCTTGCAGTTTGGACTTCAATTCGCCTAAGTTACAATATGTCTACTACGTCGGCTATTTTATTAACATTCATACACATTATGATGACAAACGCTTTCCACAGAAAGTTCGTTTGAGCTCCTTGGCATAAAAAACAAACATTAGATGTTAGTCGTGGTACCTGAAATTGTATTTGTGAAAGTATTTTGGGACAATCTATTTATCTATTAGATTATGAAAGAGTGTATACAAAACTAGAATTGTTGATTACTTACGCCGCTGTTCTCGGAGGATTTAAAGCCGAATCTATAAAGGAGGGTGTTATATTCTGTACCTCTAGTAGGATATATGTGATCAACCTTGAAACACAAGAATTTTAAAAATTTCTTTTGTAGTGTATCAAAAGCATCAATATTTTGCTTGTAAATCGGACTCCATGTCAGAGATCGATATTCGGGATTAAACCTAACCAAGATAAAGTATAAAGTCTGTAAAGTACAAATGTCTACTTCTCATAACAAAGCTATAGGTTTTGTTCATTGAAAGTTAGTTGTTGATCGAAATACGTGCCTAAGTCTGTAATAGTTTCACTACACTCACGAACACATTCATCCATTGTATAATTGTATAGCGAGTCATCGGTTTTTCTAGAAAAAGCTTCTATTCTATACTTACTTATATTAAGACGAAGTTGATTCTTGACGAACCAGCTTTGTAGTAAATTTATCTGACCTTGAATAAATATGCAGTCAAGCAGGAAACAGATAAACAAAATTTCATGCCAATCTGTGAACATCAATTTAGAACAATCCAAAGATTCACATAGCTCAATATCGAATAACATTGGTCCCAAATGCAAACCCTGTGGAACATCACAAGTTGAGACATAAGGAAGTCATGTGTAGCCATTATGAAAAACATGAATAACCGGATGAACCATTGCGAAAGCCAGAATTCCTGCCCCTATTGTACCCTAAATAATACATTAGTGCAATTACGCATTCATTTTTTAAGATAGCTACTGATTATCTTAGTTACAACTGACATTTGCGGGGCTTTACTTTGTAAGTGGATACTTCTTTTGAAATGTCTAAAACTCCGACCTACCATCTGTGGCTATTATATAACACCATACTTATCCTTTGGAGCTTTTTGCTTTTACCGTTTCTTCCACTCTTTTAACGAGTGATAAACTCTCAAATATGCCAAAAACATTGATCCATCCTTGCTTCAGTCCCTCCTCACGGACTATTTCATTTCCTATGGCATTATGCTTGTGGGTAGTTAACATCCATCTACACAAGACACTTGGTTTGTAATAGAATGATTTTCTACTGTAGAAGTCGTGAGCAAACCGTAGGTGCCCACAGGAATTTTTGCAATGGGGGCCTATCATCGGCAAGAAACAAGTTTTTGTGAAAGTGTCCCTGCCTTTATGAAGAGCAGGGGCTAGTAAATGTGCAAATCCTGAAGATTCCTAAGATTATACTCAAAGTCATAAAAAATATGCAAACTTCAAGGTCTAATTAGATTCTCTGGCGGGCGCCTATGAAGTAAGCTCAAGATACGAAGTAACATTTTATTCAGTTAGGTCGCTTTTCGTCACAGTGTCTAACATGGATGATTACTATATAAACACTTTTACACTGGATACCTTTATTTTTATAATTCAGAAGCAGCAGCTGGAAGGAAACGTGAATAGGTGCATAATGAGGATTTGTGTGTTAATAATCTGTATTGAAGATAAGTCAATTGGTTTCTTGTCTCAAACACAGTTACTTGAGATGTACGTGAAGCTAAAAATTATATTCGCTTTTTCTTATTCAAGCTGGAAATTAGATATGCAAATTTGCTAAATCTCAAAAAAGACAGCGATAAGAAAAGAAAATCTCTGGTTGGTTAAGTATATTAAAGCTACCATGTAACAGGTATAAAACGTGAAAAAGTTATTAGATTTTACATTAATTTGTATTATTTAAATTTTATAGAAATAGGCTTATATAATTTATTTATTTTGTATTTGATGCGTCATTCCTAATTTTTCTGTGATGTGGCTTAATTGCACGCAATACGGGTGCGATGCTGATTTCCCATAATGCTTCTCAAAATTTTTGAAAACGCAAAAAAAAACGGAGAGAATCGTCATGTATAACTTTGAACATAACCTCTCTTCAGAAACAACCCGTCTGACACACATAGATATATTTCATGGGCAGCATATTCAGTAATAATTTTCTCGCGTAGCAAATATCACTGATTTTATACGCATGCAGATCAATACACACAATCATCCAGATATGATGCTACTCAACCACACATTTTCTCAGAGTACACTCTACAGACTGTCTCGGCATTTTGCAACCAACAAAGCATCATGCAGAACTGACTTGCAGCTTTTAGCATGGTCATTGAGCGCGCCGTGTCCTTGAGTCATTCCTCCATAGACGGACGCTTTGATGACCCTCACAGTACTCATAGCGATCAATCGCGGAATGTACTCCTTGCACACTAGGAACTATTTAGGCAGCAATACATTTTGTAGTTGTTTTACGTTCAATAGGGTTTTTACGTAATAACCCTGCCGAGCAGACATCTCTATTCAGATATCATCAGACGTGGTGTCGGTAATCCTTTTTGGTCAGCTAAATCTATGCATGTTTCTTGAAAGGTTTCTTTTTATTCGGGTATTACTCGTTATTTTTTTAATCTACCCGAAAGGCTTTCCGCCAAGATTTTGTTGAAAAGGTTACTTGTTTGTTCGGAATAGAATGGTAGATTTTCACTCAATCACAATAGTGATAGGATTACAATATAAAAAATGGCGTCCAGTAGGTTGACTTTCTATGCAACGCTGTCATCAGTTCATAAATGATTAAGTTCAGCACAAGTTAAACCCTCCGAGAAAAAATAGTTACGAACATGTAAAATAGAGAAACTAAACAATTTAGTCAAACGGGCCCATACAATCACCGACAAGAGAATTGCCTGGAGCCAGTACTGCGCTAGCACGACTATGCATTTCGTTTGAGCCAAAACCAAAGCTCCAAAGCTCCCTTAGGGTAAGCATTCGTGCCCAGGTTGGATTTATTTTTAACGCAATGCACTTTCAAAGTAAATACGTCATAAAAAGTGATGTCGTGCACGATATTTAATATAAAAAAGGTGTCACTCGTGAAATATATACATGTTGTAGTGCTATATATGCAGATATACGAGCTTGATATGCGGCTGCTTTAATTCAACAAGTGCACGGACTGGACGTTTTCAAGTGCGAGAGAGTTCATTATAACAAGTGCTACTTCTAGTTGATACTTATTAGACAAACGGGAAAAGCTCTTCTCAAATGGATTATCCATTATTATGTAAAATATTTTATATTTTCTTTAGAAAGTCATAGTTATGCCCAGGGTGATTCTAAAATTATCTGATTTTCTCATGGATCGCTGTATTGTTTCGAAGAATCTGGGTCAATATGTATTTTGGGCAGCATCATCATTTTATATTATAAGAAAAAATAGCAAGCAAATCTCATTAACCTGTAGCCGCACATCCGACAATGAGATGGTCTAAGGAAGATCATCCGAAACTGTAAAAGTATTTACTGCACAAAGGTGAATTACTTTTTGGTGTGAAACCACTAGACTCCCGTAAAGACAACTTACATATTGAGTTATTCAACTTCAGGATATAACAGTTTTTTCACAAAATTAACATTCAATATGAAAAAACATTAAAGATCAAAATTTCACTGTAATTCTTACCCTACTCCGAAAATACAATAAATTTATCATTAAAAAGATTAACAAAAAAATAGCGTCAAGTAGGTTAACACTGTACCTGCCAGGCTACGCTGTCATCAGTTCGTAAAAGATTATGTTTGACACAAGTTGAGAAAAAAGTTAGCCACGGACATGTATAACAAAAAAATAAATAACTTTCTTCATCCCCCTGAGAGAAATTGTTGCAGAGGCACATGATCGCTGCGATGACCAATCCCGCGTGAATGACGATATTGACCTTCACCATGCACAGTTCACGCAGCCGACAGTATTGTGGAAGCGATTGCCGACTGTGACATACGACTATCGACGAGGACGCTTTTAAGTTTTAAGGGTAATGTACGTGGACATGATGAGTAAAGGCGTGTAAATTGAGGTATGTCTTCCCCCACGTCAAAAACCGAGATTTAAG